CAAGGGTTGAGATCCCCTTTCTGGTCATCTTTTTTTTTTTTTTTTTTTCATTTTTTTTTTTTTTTTTGTCTTTTTCCGTGTCCGGCAACGGATTGCAACCCTCAGTGTTGTCCCCGTACCGGACCGGGGACCGGCAACGGGACTGCAACCCTCGTCGTTGCTCCCGTGCCTCGCTCAGCCAGTGAGCGGGAACCGGTCTGTATGTGGGATCCGAACCCTCGGGCGGGAGCGCCGCCGTGCTTCCCAAGCGGCGCACTATCCAGTGCGCCACCGGGCTGGCCCCTACTGGTCATCTTTTAAAAAACAATAAATAAATAAATAAATAAAAAGTAAATCATTTTTTAAAGAAGCAAGCAGTTCAACACTGGCACTGCCCAATTATTTATAGTAACAAATCATTTGCAGTGTGCCTCACAGCACACTGACTGGGCACCATGCTGAGAACCACTGTGAACATGGGGCTCCAACCCCATTGGAAGAAGGAACTTCTTTTTAAAAGTCCGAAATGAAGCATGCCGGGCAGCTCTTGGGGAAGAGTTTTGGCTTTGTCCCCTTACTTCTTTCCACCAACACTAGTCCACTATTTAGGAATTGAGCTTTTGTCTTCGGGTCTGCAGCCTAATTCCTGAGAATTATTAATTGAACGCTCATGTCAGCTTCACCTTCTGGGTGCTTCTCCCTACCCCACAACCCTACCCCTGCCAGACTCTTTCCCACATCAAGATACAGAAGCATTTGGATCCCCTTACTGGCCAGCCACCAAAAAAAAAGATACAGAAGCCCAAAACCTCACCCAGTGTCTTGGTCAAAAAGTAGAGCTAGGCATTTCTGCTGTGACAGCTGTTAGTGACACTGGGCTTAATGGCCGAGGGTGCTACTGTCTGGCACACCCAAGATCCACCCTTCCTCTCAAAGCCTGTCTTAGAATGAAGCTGACGGTTTAGAAATTGAGAGGCAGAGAGTAGAGAATAAACTCCTGTCTTTTCTTACCCTCTGCCTGCAGAGAAAAGAAATGCTGGGAATGCGGTACGGAACGCCATGAAGTCCGAGGAGCAGAAGATCAAAGACGCCAGGAGAGGTCCCCTGGCACCATTTCCAAACCAAAAATCTGAAGCAGCAGAACCTCCAAAAACTCCAACCTCGTATTGTGATTCTCCCAATGCAGCCATCTCCAAGCAAGCCCTGAAAAAGCCCATCAAGGGCAAACAAGCCCCTCGGAAAAAGTAAGTGCCCTCTTGAGCCCTCCTGCTAACGCAGAGCAGTCTTCTGACCCCAGTGCAGCCTGCTCAGGTGCCTACTAAAGTTCAGTGGTTAACCCCATCCGCCCCTCTCATGTCTAAGACTTATTCCTGTAGTCGTCACCAGTGAGATGCTATTATTTGTTAGCATCTCACTCTGGCATGAGTCCAGAGTTCAGGAGCCCCCCTCCTTTCCCCTCCCCACACTGAGTGTAAGCAGCCTGTCTTAGAAACTCTGTGAGGCTCCTGTGGTCAGGTGAGCTGACATGCCCACCAGGCCCCAGTGGACCAAGGTGTTTAAGTGACTTCGTTTCCAAGGAGCTGCCTCCTAAAGGAGTTGTGTGCCTCCTGGGTGTAAATATGGTTTTCAGTCCTAATATTTTCTCCTCTCCCCTTCTCACCCAGAGCTCAAGGAAAAACGCAACAGAATCGCAAACTCACGGATTTCTACCCTGTCCGGAGGAGCTCCAGGAAGAGCAAAGCTGAGCTGCAGGTAGAGTCATATGATTTTCTTTCCAGCTTTTGGAGGGGCAGGGTGGTCCAGTGGGTGGTGTCTGGCATGCACATCCTGAGCCTTGTTTGCGTCATCTTGGGGCAAGTCTCTTGGCTTCTGTGGCTTCAGTTTCTCCTCAGATCTAATAGGGATCATCACAAAGCTTGCTCTGCCTTCCTGATGGGGTCACCACAAGGTTTGGTTAAGACGCCTCTGTGAAGGAGCCTTGTAACCTGTAGCATGTGGTATAGAAAGCCAGATATACTGTGAAGGTGGTTTTTCTAGGACTTGTTAGCAGGGCCATTTGGAGGCTGGAACTGTGGGAAAGGCTGCCTGTTCTCTCAGAGGCTCATCTTGTCTGCTATCTGGAAGGTTCCATGTTGTGGCTCAGGGTAGTAAAGGACAGTGACTTGGAGCCTCTTACCCTCTCTGTGCCTTGGCTCTCCTATCTGTAAAATGGGATGATAAAGTATACCTGGTGGGGTGGTTGTGAGGATTAACTCAATGTGATCATGCACTTTAGAGCACTTAGAAGTGTGCCTTGCATACAGTAAATGCCAGTTACCTGTTTCCATCATCACCATTGTTTACCCTGTGTTGTCACTTCCCAAGGCTCCTCTGCCTTTTCTCACCTAGCCCCTGTCCCTAGGAATGTTCAGAACAGGGTGGGAAGCACAGGCAGGAAGGCCGGCTGGATTGTACAGGCCTCTGCCTGTGTTTGCAGGGGCTGAGCTAGGCAGCAGTCAATCAATATTTGATGCAGAAAGGTGTGGTTATTGCCTTTCTGTTAGAGAAACCCAGGGTGTGGCCCGGTCCCTCTGCCCTTCCACTCGGGGCCTGTCTGGGGCAGCCCTCTGTGACTGCAGGGCTGGGCAGGGGTGGTGCTCAGGATTACCTCCCCCACAGAGAGATGGGGACCCTGGCTTGGGCAGATTTAGCATTTCAACCCTCACATAGACTCTTCCAGCGTCGAGTGTTTTTTATGTTAAATCTGCAGATGTAGATACAGTGGTCTAGTATTCTCTCTCTTTTTCTATTAATCGATGAGGCTTCATTTAAAAAAAACAAACCAAAAAAAAGGGGTCATTTTCCCCACAAAGAGTAGCTTTGGCTTTATTTCCTGAGAAAGGCAATATCTTTCAGCCGAGAATGAGCTGTTATAAAATGGTCTTTGGCAGTGGGAGGCTGTGCTAGGTCACTCTTAAAGACAGCACTGCAGAGGGTGAGGCAGTGCCAGACCGCAGAACCCAGGGCACCTCCCAGCTGGGTCGGACTTGGGCGTGCCCATACAGGGAGCGCTGGGGACCCACTGAGGGCCGCTCCAGGCTTGGGAGGGGGCAGCTGAGTTTGCCTTGTTAATAAAAAGCCAGGGCTTTTCTGCCTGGAGGAGTGAAGGCTGAAGTGGGATGTGGTGCAGGTCTGCCACATCTGCCGCAGCTGAGCGGAAGAAGAGACGCCTTTGCTTCCCCAAAGCTTGTCTGCAGGCACAATAAAGCTCGCCCTGTTACTGGATGAAGAGCCACATGCCAGCAAGCGCCATGCCCTTCACTGTTTGTGCTGGCTCTGCTGAGTGAACGCCATGCGAGCTGTCGATAGCCAGGCAGTAAAGCTGTTGCTGGCCAAGACAATGAGGCTGTAGCTGGGCAGGACAATGAGGCTGTATGTAGCTGGCTGGGATGGTGAGGCCAGAACAGTGAGGCTGTTGCTGACTAGGGTGGTGAGGCTGTAGCTGGCTGGGATGGTGAGGCTGGGACTGTGAGGCTGTAGGTGGGCAGGTAGTCAGGCATCAATCTGAAATAGAAATCTTCTCAGACACTTCACTGAGTCTGAAGACAGAGCAGGCAGGTTAGGGTCTATGTTTAGGGTTCAGGTCCAGGGCAAGAGGGTGGGATCTCGTCAGGACACAGGGTAGGCCTTCAAGGGATGTCCTGAGCCCCTTGACACCTCATGCTGGGCCCCTTCGCTGGCTGGCCTGGTTGCGAGTGGGGTGGCAGCCAGCACTGGGACAGGGACTGTGCCTCTTGGCAGTGCCCTGGCGTCTTCCTTTCCAGCTCAGCCTTGGGGCTGCCACGTAGAACAGACTGCTGACTCCACCTCGAGAATGCCTCAGAGGTGTCTCTCCTTCCTCATCACAGTCCTCCTTGCCCTAATTCAGACCCTGGGGCCTCCCACTCCATCTGCCTCGAGGCCCTGCTGTGGACTGCTGCCAGAATTCTCTTTAGGAAGCCCAGAGTTGGTTGTTTGCATGCCCAAAACTGCTGGCCCCAGAATGAGACTTGGACTCCCTGGCTCTGCATTCAGGGCATCTGGCCCAGGCCCAGCTTTCCTCAGCTCATCTCTGCCCTGCCTTTTTGGATCCCAGCAGGAAAGTCCCCTGTTTTCCCATGACCACTTCCTTCTCATAGCCCACCGTACTTCTCCTTGCTACTCTGTGCATACTTGTAATGAATTAATTATGTGATAAGGTGCATGTGTGTGTGTGCGCGCGCGTGTGTGTTTTATTGCTTTGAGGGCTCACTATGTGACCCATTTGGGGCCAGGAGATTCCACAGTAAACAAGATCCAGCCCCTGTATGCACAGAACTTATATTCAGGTGGGAGATAATTAACAATAAAACAAAGTCAACTAAGAGAACAATATTACTTTAAACAGCATTTCGATATTTAATAAAAAGGAGTGGTTTGATAGAGTGGCTAGGCTAAGGTTCCCTTAGCCATGGTATGCAGGGAAGTTTCTCTGAGGAAGTAAGTGACTTTTGAGCAGACCCCTAAAAGAAGGGAAAAGGCACCCCAGGCAGGGGAGCAGCAAGCAAAGGCCCAGAGGCAGGAACAAGCTTGGCCTTTTGAAAGAGCCAGCAGATGTGGCTGGAGTGTGAGCAAGGGTGAGGGTGGTGGGTGAGGCTAGGCCAGCAGGACCTGGATCCTACAGAACCTTGCAGACCACCAGAAAAAGTTTGGATTATCCCACTAGCAGTGGGAAGCTACTAGAAGCTATTTTGTTTTTCTTTAAATAAACTTTCTATTTTGGGATGATTTTAGTTTATAGAAAAGTTGCAGAGATAGTACAGAGAGTTCCCATAGACCCATTCCCCAGCTTCTTCCATTGTTAATATCTTAAGTTACCCTGGCAACTTTGTCACAACTAAGGAACCATCATTGGTCCATTACTATTAGGTAAACTGACGGGAAGGCTTTAAGCTGGGAAATGATGTGATCTCATTTACATTCTAAAAAGACCCCTCTGGCTGCTGTGTGGAGAACAGAGCATGTTTGGGGAGTCAGAGGAAGCCAGGAGACCAGTGATGTGGCTATTGCAGGTGTCCAGGCAAGCACCAGAGGAGTAGGGCAGTAGTAGGAATGGAGAGGAGGTGGCTGGGTTTGGGAGCAGAGACTGGTTTCATTCCCCATTGTCCCCAGCACACACTACAGAGTCTGGGACATTGCGGGTGATGACCAAGTGACTGGGAAAGCTGCAGGTGTGTGGGGAAGGTCTGAGGTCAGTAGTTGGTAGAGGGCTCCTCATGTGTGACATCTGGATGGTGGAGGTCCATGCCAGTGAGCCATGTTTGGTTTGGGCTTCTGACCTGTCTTTTTATAATATCCTTTTGCTCCCTACTGTCCTGTGCATGACAGAGCAGTGGGACCCAGGATTGGGGGTGGAGGTAGAAACAGGCGGGGGTGGCCCCATAGGAGAGATGAGACAGGGAGTGTCCACTCCCCTGGCTTCTCTGTTCAGGGCCATGTTGACCCTCCTGGGTGGGAGGCCCTCTTCTTAGCCATGGCAGTGGCTTCTGTAGAGATGTAGCTCAGAGATCCTAAACATAGACGTCTGCACGGACCACCAGATGGGAGGGACGTACATGTGTTCTGTCTAACGGGCACAGCCTCTAATCTGCCAAAGCTGATTTTATATGAAGTCAGAGTCCTAATACTTAGACGTTGGTGATTTGAACATTTTTTAAAGCTCTGCATGGGCCAAACAAACCATATCTACAAGCTCCATTCTGCCCTTGGGCCACCACTGTGTTCCTCCCAATCCAGTTGAATCCTAGGTGACAGGTGGTTCACATGGATGGGGGCTTTGGCATCATTGGGGACCGATGTCCTGGAGGCCAACCATGACCCTGTGGGTGTGGTCCAGGTGGCTGGGGCTCAGGGCCAGCGAGCTACCCAGAACAGCCCAGGAGAGAACAGTGATTCTGCTCTTCTTTTTTCTTTCCTCTCCCCCCAGTCTGAAGAAAGAAAGAGAATAGACAAACTGATTGAAAGTGGGAAGGAGGAAGGAATGAAGGTAAGGGGCAGTAGTGTCTGCTGCACGTGGCTGAGGCTGAGAGACCCCACCCTCCCCACTCCCCCAGCTGAGAGCGGCTGCCATGTTGCTTTAACCCCTCTCACAGTCCCCATGACAGGTCAGACTCTTTATGTTGTCAGAGCCAAATCCCAAAGCTGTTGTTAAAGAAATATCTTATGAAGGAAACGTAAATGGGCTTTGTATGTAAATCTCATCCTTGAGAAACTTTTTAAAAATGTGGTAAAATATCCATAACGTAACATTTTTTTTTTTTTTCCCTTTTTGTCTTTTTTCGTGTCTGGCAACGGATCGCAACCCTCAGTGTCACGCCCGTACCGGACTGGGACCGGCAACGGGATCGCAACCCTCGGTGTTGCTCCCGCACCTCGCTCAGCCAGTGAGCGGGAACCGGTCTGTATGTGGGATCCGAACCCTCAGTGGGAGCGCCACCGCACTCCCAAGCAGCGCACTGTAGCAGTGCGCCACCGGGCTGGCCCCCATAACATAACATTTACCATTTTAAATTATACAGTTCAGTGGCATTTAGTACATTCACAGTGTTGCACAACCACCATCGGTGTCTAATTCTAGAACATTTTTTTTTTTTTAAAAAGATGACCGGTAAGGGGATCTTAACCCTTGGCTTGGTGTTGTCAGCACCACGCTCAGCCAGTGAGTGAACCAGCCATCCCTATGTAGGATCCAAACCCATGGCTTTGGTGTTATCAGCAATGCACTCTCCCTAGTGAGCCATGGGCCGGCCCTTAATTCTAGAACTTTTTAATCCTCCCAAATGGAAACCTTGTACCCATTTCCAGTTGCTCCCCATCCCCCCTCTTCCAGCCGCTGGCAACCACTAATCTACTTTCTATCTCCATGGATTTGCCCCTTATTGACATTTCATCTAAATAGAATCATATAAGATGTAGCTGGTTGTGTCAGACTTCTTTCACTTAGCATGATGACTGGGAAAACTTTTAAAATGAGAAACTAATAAAGTTTTCCTAAACTCTTTTTCTGGATAATGGCAATACTCAAGAAATTTGCTTTTCTCTTAGTGTATTTCAAACATATTTGGTTTGGGCAAGAGCAGAATAATCTCTACAGTGGTGGTCAGATGGGTCTGGAGGAGTTAGCTGTCATTTGTACCCACTATCTAGAGGGATCTGAACTTAAGTCCTGGGCCTCTCAAGCAACCACCCTCCAACTCCATTTATAACAGAGCAAGGAGAATCACAGGAAGGCCTATTATGGAATGGAGGATAGATTCAGAACACTGGGTTGTGCTGTTCGCCCAGAGTCATGGAACACAGTGCTTAGGTGGAGAGGCCAAGTATGTGGATTTAAGTCCCTGCTACAGCACTTTTGAGCTATATGGCCTTGGAAATGTGGGTCTGCTTTTCTAAGCCACAGTTTCCTCCTCTGCAAAATAGGTGACACCCACCTAGCAGATCTCTCATGCAAATCTGATGTAACAGTGCTGTGCAGATGGGCACAGGGAACTTTCTGGGGTGATGGAAGAGTTCTAAAGCTGGATTGTAGTGATAGTTGTGCAACTGTGTACATTTAATAAAACTTATCAAACTGTGCCCACAAAATGAGTGAATTTTTTTGGCATATCTCAAAAAAGCTGTTAAAGAATATGGTACAAGCCCTAAGCTTCCCAGGAAGCCTGCCATGCCTGGTGATGTCCATGCTATTATGAACCATCACTCTTTTGTCACCTACTGACAGATTGACCTCATCGATGGCAAAGGGAGGGGCGTAATTGCCACTAAACAGTTCTCCCGGGGCGACTTTGTGGTGGAATACCATGGGGACCTCATTGAGATCACTGATGCCAAGAAGCGGGAGGCTCTGTATGCACAAGACCCCTCCACAGGCTGCTACATGTACTATTTTCAGTATCTGAGCAAAACCTACTGGTAAGTTCACTATTGCTTTGAGTGGCTTTTCTGCCCTGTGGGCAGAGAGCCCCTGATTCTCTTTGTGGGTCAGGCTTCTGGTTTAGTTCTTGCTGCCTTTTTCCAAAGCTGTGATGCAGCTTTCCCCCTTTTCCATTTTTAATATATGGAATTGGATCTGTTCTAGATGTCCTCTCATTCAGAGGGAAGCAGAAGTGGGCTAGTCATGTGCAAACCTGCTTCGTGGCCCGCCTGGCCTCCCCCTCTTAAGGCCTCTATCCAGGGCACCTCAGGAAATCACCAGTTGCTTCTTCCTGTTTATGGCCATTGGGGTCCATTTTTTATTTTATTATTTTTTTATTTTTTATTTTTTTAAAAAAAGATGACCAGTAAGGGGATCTTAACCCTTGACTTGGTGTTGACAGCACCACACTCAGCCAGTGAGCTCACCGGCCATCCCTATAGGGGATCCAAACTCATGGCCTTGGTGTTATCAGTACCACACACTCCCGAGTGAGCCACAGGCTGGCCCGGGGTCCGTTTTTTAATCCATTTATTTTGCAAAACGCTAGTTACCCCGCCACCCTGTGCCTCCATAAAGAGCCCTTTGGATTTTGTCCCCACCCCAAAGCTCCTACCCAGGGCCTTTCTAGGCTCTTTTCTAGCTTTGTGCATTGAATCACCTTCCCAATAACATGGCTGCAAATTGACATCCCACCAGAGTGGAGAGCAATTGAGGCTTTGACTGAGCTAAAGAACGTCTTTATCGGGCCGGCCCGTGGCTCACTCGGTAGAGTGCGGTGCTGATAACACCAAGGCCCCGGGTTCGGATCCCATATAGGGATGGCCGGTTCGCTCACTGGCTGAGCGTGGTGCTGACAACACCAAGTCAAGGGTTAAGATCCCCTTACCGGTCATCTTTAAAAAAACAAACAAACAAACA